TTTTTGACACCTAAACCGATTATTAGGATGAAGAATTTTGAAAGGCATACCCAACAAAACCAACGAACTGATAGCGATGATCAGCAGTTAGACTAAAGTTTGAGTGCTGACAGCTTTTGACTGTGTCGCCAAACTGTCTGTTAACTGAACGCTTAATTTGGAATTCTTATAGTTGAAAACATTTTATTTCTTACTATACTCTAACTACAGCTGATTTAGCTCTGTTTCTTTTTTTATTTGGTTGACCATAAACTAACGCTGTATTATTGTATGCAAATATTCTTCACTTTTATTTATCGATCAGATAGTTTTAATGATTGTTGATCGGTTGGAAACAGCTTTGGCTGGTGCAAAAGTTGATGTTAATTGTTGATCAAAATAGATTTGTTATAAAATCTATAAATTAAAAAAAAACAGCAGCATTGTCAAACTGATTAGAAAAACAATTATTCGTTTCTATTCTTTTTCATCTTTCATCCTTCTTTTCTGAAGTCTTTATATAGGAGCGTCTTGAAATTGTGTGTTGATGATTTGTATGTGTAACAGTCAATGAACGATGTGAATATATTTCACAACTACTCATATTTCTTTTAGCACTAATCAAAACATTTAATTATTTGGAATTTCCTTTTATTTTTTACCTTTTTCTTCTCTAATTTTTTTTGGTTATTGCAAACAAAGTTCGTTCAAAAACTGTATTTTATATATTTTTCACTGCTCAGTTCACTACGGCTTTTAACTGTTTATGAACCAGTAAATTCTTCCCTGACAAATGAGAGATGTTTTACAGTACAACTGACTGAATAAAAAATAGTCATACTTTTTTAACTGATTAACAACTAAAATCAGAAGGCAGTGGAAAATTGGAACGAACAACAGATGCATGCAATATTTCTGTTTTTTTCTGTAATAATTCGTTCGCACCGTAGTTATTTTAGCTACCAAGCCTTTTCTTTCTGTTGCCAAACGAGAAAAAAAAAAGTTATAGCGAAATTAATATCTAAAGTTATTTTTTTTCAATTAATGGTCGGGAAAAAAATTTTTCTTTACAACTTTAAAAAAGAACATGTAATGTTTGTTGATCACTAAACTTTCATCACCAGAAAAGTCTATAAGTTTAGAAGGATATTAAAGCTGCGAACTGCTGCTATTAAACGATGTAGAGATCATGAATCACAATAACAATTAATTGTTTTAATCCTATAGATTGGTTAGAGGAAATAATGTTTTTATAAATATCCATAAAGTAGACCGCTGTTCCATTTAACAGTTTTTTTTCAAGAATTGAACAGTGGTAGTTCTCCTAATTGACGCATAAGTGTATCGCAGAAACTTAGAACTAAGGCTTTTTTTTTTTGTATACATTATACTGCCTGAATATTTTGTATGAAAGCTATTTATTCAATATATAAATGTACCTTGAAAATTCGTTGTAAAATGCTATGAGTTATGCATGTTTCAGCCTCCTAACATATGACGAACTGCTAAAATCGTCAATGGCAGAAGTTTAGTTTGAATTTTATAGATTAAATTTTTGAATGCCGTGACGTAATTTATTGTTGTTTATCCAGGATCAACAGGCATTTAATTATTTTTTTTTGTCTACAGGCACTTAGTGTTGTTTTTGCTGGCCACCTACGCCTGACTATGATAAATTTATGTTCAGAATTTTTGATTTTAGCTTAAATGCTTACGTGGCTGTTAGAATATATGTGCGTATGTGTGTGCGTGTTTGTTTTCCTACCATCGGTACATATTTTCGACAATTTGCATGGCACAAATTTGTTCTTCAGTATCATCATCTTCAACGGCAGCGTTAGCAGCGATAGGAGAAGCAGCAACAGCAATAACAAGAAACAGTAGGGAGATTTGAGCTGATGGAAAACAGCTGTGAAATGTATTGTCATCGTTTCTAAACAGGTGTTCAAGAAGCTTTAACACCAACGCGTTTCAAGCAACTTTGTATGTGTTTGTCTACTGAGCGATATACTTTGGTTAAGCTAAAATAACTGACCGAGAATATTCAAGAAATACTAGAAATTTATCAAGAAAAATAGATTATCGTTTAGTGGAAAAATTATAACTTGAGGTAATTATTTTGTGAATAAAAACCAACAAAGAAAACTTCTTTAAATTTTATTTATTTTCGGTTCCTAAGCTTTTCCTGAATTTTATTTTTTCTGACGTTTTACAGACCACAGGCTGTGATACCTTCAAATTTTTCGAATAAGAAAAATCGCTTTTCTAATATTCTTTTTTACTTTTATTAAACCAAAAATAAAATAGTTTTTACCATTTTAAAGTTAATAAATAAACAGTGTCGGTACTTCATCTACAATAAAGAATAAAATGACTTGATTTTGATAGACAAGTTGATTTTCCTACAATTTCTTAATAAAATAAAAGAAGAGAACGTGTTTATCTCAAAAACCATAAGTTTTTATGTGTCATATTATGTTTTTAAAAAAAGTATTCATTTTTCTAGAGATTGCTAGCTGCACCCTGCAGTATCCAACGATACTAAGACAAGCAGGGTTAGGCAAAGAAACAATGGAAGGGTAATATACATCTTTTTGAGAAAAAAAACTTATCAAATAAAAACTCTTGATCAGGACATTTTTTAACATCGATTATTGAGTTCAAAAACCTGCCCACACTTCATATAGTTATTAGACTGTCTGTCAAAACAGGTGCCATTTTGTCGGGCGTTTTTGCTGAATTAAATGAGCAGCATTATCAAAGTTTTAGAACCGCTAAAAATTGTAGAGGAAGTTCAAAAGTTTGTGTTAACCTTTTTTTTTCTTTAATAAAACCCAAAATAACTTTTGCAGGCGATCTACACACAACAAAAATCCATTTTTTCGCTTAGGAACTTGAATTACACCCGTCGGAACTGTGGAACGCTATTCGTCGGCAATGGTCACTAGAACCAAAATCCCTAAGTGTTTCCTCCCAAAACACTTTTGTTGCGCAGCATTTACGTCCTTACTTTGTACAAGTTGTTATAAAAACGCAAAAAGCACTTCCCTGAAGCTGCTGAAGTCTTTCATTTGGTTAGAGAAAAACGAAGTGCCTCATGCTGGAATCGAACCAGCGACTTCTGTTTACTAGACAGACGCTCTGCCCCTGAGCCAATGAGGCAGCTGTTGGTGGCCGCGATGTTTGCCTGGAAGTCGATTCCGCTGAAGAAAATGCAAGATCAAAGTACAAGCTACAGCGCCTATAAGCTAACAAAACGAATAGGTGAAAGAAAAAAATATATGCTGCAAATGTAACCGAAGCAGAGAATTTACTCTTTGAACAACGTGGATAGACTCTTCTTCCTGGAAACCAAAAAATTTTCAAAAACTTACTAAGTAAAAACATCCGTACTAAGAATCTCTGCACTTGTCAAACGCGATGAGATAATAAAAACGATTTAAAGAATATCAAAGATAGAATGAGTTTAAAATGCGTCACAAGTCTTAAGGTTTTTTGCGGCTAAAGAAAAAAACTGAATAAAAAAATTTGATAAAGTGAAACCGCTGATGTATAAGCCAACAAAGTCTTGTAAAGTGGAATTGCTATGATATTTACTGCTATATGGCCAATTCTGTAAGATTCGACTAGTGGAGAAACGATGAGGAAAAACTGTTCTTACAAATATCCAAAATTTTTGCTAGCCAAAGCTCGTGCATGACCCCACTACAACTGATGAATTTTCAATCTACGTGAAAAAGTTAAAAGCTCATAGAAAGGAAAAAAAATTAAATTTTTTTCAGTTTTACAAAGTGCGCCCTGGATAATGTGTGTTTTAACATGTGAAAATGTGAATTAATATTGTCGTGATTCATAAATGACTGGAACCTCTAGGAAATTTTGTTTGCCAGATCCCAAAACTGTGCAATTTGACAAACAACGAAGAATAGCGATATTACTATTACCAAAAAACCCTTTAATTTGTTACGCTGTTTAAAGGCGATACCAGTCAATGAAATGCGTGTTTGGCCAAGAAGGAAGGTCACAATATAAGTCGTCAGTTTAGAATGAAAAGACAAAAATTAAACAATAGTTGCTCATTATAAAATTTGAGACATCAGTGTATACGAAAGCTAAACTGAGCTATAAAGAAAAGACATCAGTTGCCCATGTAATTTTATCAGCGTACTTCTCAGAATTTGCATTTAAAAGTACCAGTTACACTGAAAACACTAGAAAAAATTCAAGAATTAAACTAGGGCATGATAACAGTATATCGGCTAGCCATTCGCCTGAGAACTGACGATGTGCCTCAATAAGAGCTGTTTAGAAAAGTTCCGGAAAGGTCGCCAAAATCATCTTAATAATAAGTTGCCAAAAATTTGGTAATTCTTTTCGCTCATTAAGTGCTTCAAGAGAACAAAAAACGTATCAATTTAACGCTACCAAACAAGAAGTAGGAGTTACGTAATGCTGAAACTGACATAAGTGTGGAGAAAACGTGGCAGGTCCCCATGGAGATTTGAACTCCCGTCGCAGGATTCAGAGTCCTGAGTGCTAACCCCTACACCACGGGACCACCTAGTGGAGCTGTGCCAAACAATACTGATCACTACACTGTCTGTCGCTTAACGCGTTCACTCTTGGTGCGCTGACGGGTGTTGCGTTTTCACTGTGTGTTATTTTGACTTTTCTAGCGTTCACCAAAATATTCCAAAAGAAGTGCAAGTTTCGGTATCACTTATGTTTGACATATCGAGAGTCATTTATTAAATTTATTGGATTAGTAAAAAATCAGAATGGTATGCTTAGTGCATAAGTTACCAGTTAAATTGAAAAAATAGCGTTTTGCGCATTTATCATTATGAAAAATTTTCTTTTTTTGATGTTACCACGCTGTTTCATACGTTTACCTCCTGCGTATAACTCCGCTTCTTTATTTTATGTTCCATATCTACTTAGTAAAAACCAAAGTTTATTTCTTCTTTGTTCCTTGTCTTGTCTCTTATCACAAAATGACCCACTTAAAAATCTAAGCTAATCTAAGTATATTCACAGCCGTCATCAATGAACTTAAAAACGAAAGTGTTGAAGTACGTGAAGTGATCCTCGGTTCCATAATTTAACCATCTGCTATTGCTGCAGCGGTAGTCTTCGCCGGAATAGCATATTGAGTATGGATCTTTTTCTTTCATTGCGTTGTTGTACCACACCTAAGCAACAACAACAACAACAATAAAAAAAAAAAAAAACGAGTGCACAAAGTCTATTTTTCACTTCAGCTTAAACTGGCATCAGCAAAAGATTAAAAAGTTTTATTCAGTTAGTAAAGCAAAGATAACGACGTACCTCATAACGGTGCTGATAATAACCCAAAAAATTTTTTGGGGGGAGATGTGGAACAATGTCTTGAGCATGGGTTACTCGATAGGAATAGGGAAACTAAAAACAGTCATAAGTTTTGCTCGATTATGCACAAATGTATACGCTTTATGTTTCAGTTTTTCTTGGTTT